TATAATGTAGTTAAAGACAAAGTTGTTGAAGCAGCTCATGTTGGTGCTGATACATACAATGTAGTTAAAGACAAAGTAGTCGAAGCAGCTCATGTTGGCGCTGAAAAAGTTGCCGAAGCAGCCCATGTTGGTGTTGAAAAAACCCAAGAAGTATACAATGAATATGTTGCTCCAGCAGCTGCAGCTGGTAAATAAATATAAAAAGCTAATTTGTCAATATCTATTTTTCTCATTTTAGGTGCTGAAATCGTTAAAGTTAGTTATATCAATTTAAATTGATTTTTCTATCATACGAAGGATTTTTATTGTAGGAAAAAGTTCATGAAGCATCTGATATTATTAAAGAAAAAGCAACTGAAGCTGCTAAAGTTGGCTCAGAATATGCTGAAGCTGGTAATGAATATTTAGCACATGGCGCTGAAGTTGTTAAAGAATATGCTACGTAAGCTTTAATATTTTTTATTGTTTTTACATTGCCTATAATCTAATCTTTTGTTTTATTCAGAGAATATGCTGATGAAGCTCTTAAACAAGGTAAAGTTTTTACAGAATTAGCCAAAGAAAAAATCGAAGATGCCACTGCTGAAACAATTAAAAGTAAATTTATAAAAAAAAATATGATCATAATTTAAAAAACAAATTATATTTTTATAGGTGCTAAAGAATTTGCAGCTGAAGCTGTCAAAATGGCCGGTGAATATGCTGCTCAAGCCAACGAAATGTTCCATAAACAACTTCCAGTAGTTATTGAAAGTATGTTCATTGAAATAATATAATTTACAATGTAGAATGATAAAATTTATCTTTAGCTGGTAAACAATATACTGTTAAAGCCGCTGAAGTCACTCAAGAATATGCTGGACAAGCATATGAAGCTACTAAAGAAAAAACTGAAGAACTTATTAAAAATGTTAAGAAGAGATTTGATTTATAAAATTTAGAACTATTATTTTCTTGTTTTTTTGATTGCATCTATTAGTCTTATTATGTCTTTCCTTTTTTTTGACCATTAGACAAAGATTTCTTCTTTTTTTTGCAATATGTGACATACATAAGTTTTGGTGTCGTTGACTTGTTTTCTTTTTTGTGTGTTACAGTCCTCTCTTGTTTTTTGTTGAAAAAGTATCTATTTTATGCATTCCCGAAATCAACTACTATTTTTATTTCATTCATTAAACTTAATATCATCCAGTAAATGCCGATGGTTACTTAAAACGTTTCTTTTTAATTGTTGGTAATCGATGTCACCACTATCGATTAAATCTCCAATCGCGTCGTTGTTTTATTGGTTGCCTTTGTTCAACTAAGTATAAAACAAACAAACTTGTCCTTCATTCTCTTTCATTTTACATTTTCGTAAAATGAAAATACTTCTAGCTTTCGCTACTCTCTTCTCTTTTTTAATTTTACCAAATAATGCTCATACACAGGGTACAATAACGGTCGATTCAATTACTTTTGATAAAATTTTACAACGTTTTCATACAGTTCTACTTAAATTCGACGATAAATTTCGTAAGTAATCCAAACAAAAACTGAATTCTTTTTTTTATACAATTTATTGTTAATTTTATATTTAGCTTATGGTCCTTTCCAAGATAGTTTTAAAGATTTGGTTGATAGCGTTGCTAATGCAAAAGATTTTGTTATTGCTGAAGTTCCTGTAACTGATCGTGATAATAGAGAAAACTATCATTTTGGTTTAAACTATTATGCATTTAAACCGGATTTTCCCGTATATAGATTGTTTATTAAAGATACACCCACGCCAATTAAGTATGTTGGTGATCGAACAGCAGATGATTTGAAACGTTTTCTATTACGAAATACAAGTAAGAGAAATTCATTGTTACGTTATTATATTGAAAAAATAACATTCTAGAGGTTTGGCTTGGTTTGTCTGGTACAATCGAACTCCTACATGAACTTAGTGGAGAATTTATTGATGCTACATTAAATAATGATACAGATACACAAACTCTATTGTTAGAAAAAGCACAAAATCGAGTCAATACCATACTCGATACGAAAGATCAGAAAAGGTTAGAATTAATATAGGATATTTCGTTGATTTTAATATGCATTTGAATTTAGTGGTGAAATGTATTTGAAAATTATGGAAGCTGTTATGAAAGATGGCATTGAATTTTTTAAACGTGAAGAACGGCGTATTCACAATTTACTTAAAGGAAAGGTAAATAAACAAGAAAAGAAAAGAAAAGAATTGTTTTTGCAAACTCGATGATGATACCCGCCATGCTAATGCTGAGGGAATACTCTTGACATTTTTCAAAGTTTATTATTATGAATATGTATTATTATAAACGCATATTTAATTCTTTATTTATTGAATATATCGATATGGTTAGCATTTATATATCGATTTATTCTATTTAGAGAAGTAAATATGTTATTATTTTGATACATTTTTATCGTAATGAATGATGATCATTGTTCAAGTTTTTTACTTCTCAATGAGCTTAACCTCTCGAACCTGAGAGTTTGCTTTTATGATAAATTTAATTTACTATATTAATTGTATATATATATATATTTGTTTATTTAAGGTTACCAAAGAAAAGAAAATTGAATTACGACATCGAGAACATATTCTTCTCTCATTCAAACCATTAAAAGAATCAGTTAGTAAAATGGCGGATGCAGCTAAAGATGAAGCTGCGAGTGCCAACGAACAAATTCAAGAAACGACTATGGATGCTCATAAAGAATTATAAAAAATATAGACGATTTTTTCTCTTGTGATAAGTGGGGTTTTATTTTTAATGTAGTTTATAGTTTGTGTCTTTCAGTTGAGAATGAATGAATTATGAAAATTGATTGGTTTTTATTTTTTTATGTTTTGTATTTTTTTATACCGATGTTTTGACTATTTTTTTTAATGTAAAAGACATAATTATTAAAAAGAGAATTAATAAATAAAAGGTTTCATTTAATTTATGCATGCTAATTATTGAAAAAAAAAGGAAATGTTGGAGAACTAAAATGATAGAAATATTTTAGATCATGCCACTTTTATTTGATTGGCCATTTCCTGAGAAACCATCGATATTCTATAAGGCAGCATCGACAGTAACGATTGGCCTTGCTGGATCATTAAGCAGACTTTGGATGAGTGAGTGAAAGAGATTGATTGTAATTCAGAAAGTACAAAAATACAACTTATATTCATTTCTAGAATATCTAACTTCAGTTCGAATTGAAAATGGTGAGACATAGAAACTACTAATATTATTCTATATTTAAAATTTTATTTCATTTATTAAAGGCGAAATTCTTCATAATGCTGTACTAAATCGAGATCCAGATCGACCATTAATTACTGTGGCCAATCATCATTCTTGTAAGATTATTAAGTTTGTGTTTAATATCATGTTTTTCTTTGCTATTCTTTCTGTAGGCATGGATGATCCATTGTTGATCGGTATATAAAACGGTAGTTTTCTTTCTTGCCTAGCATCTTAATTCAATAATTCATCAATGATTTTATATATTACTTATTACTTATTATATTTATGTATAGGAGCTACTCTGCCACATCGTGTTTTTTGGAATCGTCCACTAATGCGATGGTCTTTGGGAGCTGATGATATTGTATTTACTGTTAGAAAACATCAACTTTTTTTCAGTTTGGGAAAAACAATACCGGTGACAAGAGGTGATGGTGTTTATCAACGATCAATGGATTTTGCCTTAGAACAAATTAATCGTGGTGAATGGGTGCATATCTTTCCTGAAGGTACATCAACTGTAATATCATTGAAAATTTATGTTAAATTATCTTCTAGGAAAAGTCAATTTAACAAAAGAATTAATGAGACTTAAATGGGGTAAATTTCGAATCAAATTCATTTATTATTATTACAATAAATAATAATTTATTCTAGGTGTTGGTCGACTTATTGCTGAAGCTAATATTTGTCCATTAGTTGTTCCATTCTATCATCTTGGTATAACAAAAATAGTTTTTACATAATGAATAAATAATGATTTTATTATTTTAGGAATGGATTCAGTACTCCCAAATCAACCACCATACTATCCACAGATGAATCAAAAAGTGAGCATTTATGTTGGTGAACCATTAATTTTTGACGAACTTGTACAAAAAATGAAGAAAGAAAACCGATCATTAGTATGTACATATAAATGAATGAATAATATTATCTTCATCTTTTTTTTATTTCAGGAAGAAATACGTAAAACAGTAACGGATAGAATTCAAAATGAAATAGCCAAATTAAAAACAAAATGTGAAGAATTACATAAGAAGCATCTTGCTGATGATTCTACTTCTTCTTGAGACAAATACCGAAAAATTTAATTTTTGATAGTTTTTGTTTTTTTGTTATATTGTATGTTATTTTGCAGTATAGAATACCCGGCACGAAAAATAAAACTTTGCAACATTTGTGTTAGAATAATTCAGCAAATATATAGAAAATTTTGCTATCAAAAATATAATTATATAAAAATAAATCATTTTGACAAGATTTTGTTGAAGAGCATTTCATCAACAGAATATTCTGTCAAAAGTTAATTATATTCTTGTCATCGTTAGGACATGTTATAATCAAGTGTCATGTTTCTGTAAGAACAAGTACATCACTTGATTGATCAAGTAAAGAATGTATAAACAAACTATTTTCAATCGAAAACAATGATATTTTATTTTCATCAAATATACTATCATGTTAACAATATATTGATAAATTTTACTATAACAAATAGAAGACAAAAATTTAACAAAAGTAAACAATAATTGATTTCCTATATTAAAATTCTAATGATGCCCAATGATAATATTGCGATGTTGTTGTTCGTACTAACACACGTTGAAATTCTTTCTTTGTCGTCTTCTTCTTCTGTTGTTGTTGTAAAAGAGTTAATAAACCACCTGTTGCTATAAAACCTTTTCCTGTACAGCAAGCTCGTGAAAATTGAAATGCTCCACTTGTCATAGCACCTAATATTTTTCGATCACAATCATGAATAATTGCTTGTTCATTATTATTTGTTCGTTGTTCAATTAATTTAATCATTGTTTGACCTCTTTTATATGTTTGTTTCGCTTTTTTCATTTTTCGTTCTTCAATTCGAGCTTGATCATTATGTCGAGATTCTACTATTGTCTTCTTATTAGTCTTTAAATCATCGACAGTGGGTAAATAAATCAATGCTGTATTATCAATAACACCTTTATGATCTTTTATACTAACACGAATTGGTACAAGTGAATGTAAATGTTGCTGTAGAGTTTCTATAGAGAGACGATTTCGATCACGTAAAACATAGAATCGTTGAGAAGGCATCATAGTATTTGTTGGATCATATTCTAATGCCCAATCATGTACAATATTTATCCATAATGGACGAAATGGACTATTAATGCCATTAATGAAAAAATTTGGTCGTTTTGATGGTGGACATTTAGAAAAATGTGTTAATTGTTCGGATTCAATTTTTGATGCCCAAGCAATGCCAGCATCTGTATCAGGATATTCTTGTGGAAATTGAAATTCACCTAAAAGATAATTTAGTTATAATAAATAAATTTTATCTTTTTTTTCTGAATCTACCAGTTTCATGAGCAATTAATGATAATTCTTTTTGACCAATTGGTCTAGCACCACTATAAATAAGTGAAATCCAAAATATTTGTGCCCATTCATTTGGTAGAATAATATCCCATCCACTTCCTAAATCATTTCGATTTTGTTGATATTGTGACAAAGGTGAAAGAAGATCATGATGATGAATTAATATCAATGGAATTTGTGATTCTTCTTCATTTAATTGTAATTCCTTACCTACAAAAAAAAAGGAAATCAATGATAAAATGTTTAGTTTTTTTTTCTTGCTAAAGTTTACTATCAGTTGTTAATGTTTTTGATCGAAAAAGATTGATTTGATATGTTGCTAATTTATTTTCACAACAATGTGTACGATATTTTTCAATCCATAATGGTGAACTAGCAAGATCAACGGATGATGGTGGAGATGTTTCAAGTTTTTCAATATCTACAAAATAGAAGATTATCTATTGTTATAATTAATAGAGATTTACTTGTTTTAGTATGAATTGTTAATTTTGGTTTAATTGGTGTAAATACACGTGGATCACGTACAACAAGTGAAATAATTCGATTAGGCATTAGTGTTGATGTATTACCAATATTACTATTCCAAAAGTGAAGTTGTTGTTGATGTTTATCATTTGAATGTGCTTCATTTGTCCACCATGCAAATGGTGCAGTTTTTCGTTCAATAGGATCATTAGGTAGCATACTTGGATGAAGTGCATGTTTTAGAATAGCCATTGAAAGTGGACCAATTAAACGAAATCGAGTTAATTGTTGTTGATCTCGTAATAAAGTAATAGTTACTGATTCTTGATCACCATCATCATTTCTTTGTTTTTTAACAGGTGGTTCTTCAGTTGTTGTTGTTGTTGTTGATAATGAAGTATTGAACAAAGAAAAAAGTATTTGAGCGAGAGTATCATATGAAGCTGGATGACACCATAACCAAAGTTTACGTTTTTGTTTATCATTTGATGGCATCCACATGAAACTTATCGGTGTTAAGCATTCTTTTGTATGTGGTTTATAAACAAGACATTGTCCTTCAAATTGTCCATTAAGATACATTTTAGCTTTTGGTGTTAAATTAGTATTTGATGAAGGAAATAATGGAGTCAGTTTTTTAATGATTTCTTCTTCATCACCTTCTAATTCAATACATCCATAATAGGACATATCCTAAATAAATATCAATAGGAGTTATTCTAATAAACAAAACAAAAGCATACATGAATTAAGCATCGTTCATGTAAAGATTTATATGTTGGTCGAACACATTTTGTATTTGATTTTTCCGCAAGACGATAATTCCATAAAGTATTCATATGGAAACGTTTTGCATGCCAAATATGTGTTTTAAGCCATTTGATTTTACGTTGACGATTCGTGTAAGATGCAAGTAAATCTCGAGGTCGACGACGATAACGACGAGATGGTCGTTTCTTTTTAGCTGTACCCTTAAGAAAAGAAATTAGTAACACTATTATATATTCAATAAGATATTTACGGTTTTAGGATCAGCTAATGGACGAAGTGAACGTGGCAAACGTTTTATATTATAACTTGCTGCTCGCCGTCGCATATAACGTGGAAGAATTTGAAGAGCAGTTCTATGCTTCTCTTGTCGATGGCCAAGTTCATATAAAAGCGAATGAAGTTCTTGAGCTCGAGCATGAGCTAAATCAGCAATATGCACCACTATAAAGAAAATACATATATTTGAATAAAATTGAAAACAGTTTTCTATTTCACTTACATTCTGGTGTTGAAACAATATTGTTGTCATTTGCCATTATTATCTAAAAAAAATATTAAAAAAAATAACGGAATAATTTTTTTTATCTTCTCGTGTTTTTATACAAAAATAATATCGAGTATTATTAAATACAAAAAGAAAATTTGAATAACACAATATGTTTTATATTTCCATTATGTTATTCTCTGAAACAAAACAAAAAAGAAGTATACGAAGAATTAAATACTTATTTAAAAATCTTACCAGCAGTATGTTCTTCCTGGTCTATTGAGCTTGAATTATTTTGATTTAGAATTTCACCAGCTTGTAACATTGCTGTTAATTTATTAATTTCTTCAAGAGATTTAGCTTCTGTAATCGCTTTCTAAATATTGATGTATAATTATTAAAAAAGAAATAAATTTTCAATATAAATTAAAACTACCTTAATAGCATCAGCTACTTTTTTAGTCATACGTGGTGTTTGTGGTTTAACTAATTCTTCACCGGGTGTGAATGTTTTAATATTTTTTTGTTTCTGCTTGGTTTTTTTATTCAATTTAGATTTGTAAATTTTACAAGCAGCTTCACGTTCCTAAAAACAAAAATTCGTATATGTATATAAACATGTATTTACATTTAATACTTTTTGAGTTATTCGATTAAAATCTAATGTACGTAAGTTTGGTAGCATATGAATAACATATAATCGATAATCTTTTAACATTGCAATCGGATTTCTAGCAAAACTAAAGAACAAAAAAAGATTCGATTTTAGTTTATCTAATAAAAATAAACAATTTACCTAATATGAGCTAGTTTAGATAGTGTTGCTAATGGATCAATATCAGTTAAAACTTGTAATAAGTTATTATTAAGTATGAGTGTATCTAAATTTGGAATGTATTTATCAAGATTTTCAGCAATACGTCTAAAATCAATTTATTTTATAGAAGATTTCGAATGTAGAAAATATTTACTAACGTTATATGATTATTTGCAAGATAAAGCGTTTTTAATTTTGGTAAATATGGAAAATCATCAAGTTTACGAAGATCATTATTAGTAAGATCAATTGTATCAAACTGATTTAATGTTGCACCCAAATTTTCAATAACAGGAAGTTTTAAATCTAAATATTTATTGTTAGAAAAGATTTTATGTATTATTTTTGTTATATTTACCTCGTAAACTAAGTTCATATTGGCCTACTGGATTAAGATATTGTGGAGCTACTTCGATTACTTCAGGAGTAAGACGAACCATAATTATTAGAAAAAAGAATGATTGAATCTAAAATAAGAATATTTACTAGAAGATAAAAAGAATAACTGTATAATTGAAATTTTCGTTAAATATTATGTAACAAATAGTAGATTCATAGTAGCTTGTTGAATTTTATTATAGTGAGACTTCATCCTATAACTAGTAGTTAAATATTTCAAATTATTGAGTCGAAAAACTCATTTTTATTCAAAAAAAGATTAAAGACACAAATAAATTGTCTCATTAGATATCGGCATAATTTTCATAATGACTGCATATGTGTGAATCAATTTATACCAAAAAAAAAGCGAAAAATTAAAATTTCAATCTGAACTATTTACCTATCTTAATGAAATTTCTTTTTTCAATAATCAATAATAATTTATATGAAGAAATAAAATAAAGTTTAATTGATGCAATTTTATTTAATTCTTTCAAAATACTGATGTAATCGTATGGCTCATTACAGTAACCAATCATACCTTTAAATATAATATAATTTTGATTGGTGCATAGCAACAAGCAGACAAAACCCCTATAGATACCATAAACTATTATTTTGTTATATGCCATTTAACAATGAATAGGAATATTCTTCCATCTTCAATATTTCTTTTACGAAATACATTTATTCGTTCAATTCATATAACATCTATTAATTATGCTCAACCAACAAAAGCTAAAAAGAAAATGGATCCAATGACAGATAAAATCCGGGAAGATCGTAAACGACGTCGATATGAAAAAGTTATAGATAAATTAGAAAAATTTAAACTTCAACTTAAACCAATTAATGAATATGAATCTGAAAGACGAATTCTTAAAGAACTTGAGTATGAACAAATTTTTATTTTTATAGAATAATTTCATGTATTCTTTAGTGTTCGTAAACGTTCATCTGTTGAATTAACATCAGACGAAACAACTCATCGATTAATGTTAAATCGTGATTGGGCAAAACATAAACATCGACAGCATCAACAAGAAATAACATTTATATCTCGTGCTTTGAAATCACAAGAAAATGCACTTGAACAATTAAAAATTGAAAGTGAATCACTTTATGAACAAGCATTACAAGTATGAATTCTCAATTTAAACTGTGTTTCTAGCAATGATGATTTCTTCTTTATTTATCATTCTACGCATTATTTTTAATTAACAATAGGAAGAGAAGTCGAGATATTTAATTTAAATATTGAATCGTCCCCAAAAAGAATTCTTGAATATATGACAACACTACATTTTTCACGCATCTAGTCAAATAATCATACTTCTGAAATAATTATAGAAGATCACAAATAAAATTCATTCTTTTTCTTATAAAATGTGTACAAGACTATAAATCGATATTTCACACCAAAAGATTTTTTATGAATATAAATGCATTGCTTTGCTTTCTTTTTAATATTTTTCTTAGTTAAATAATTCATTTTTTTATAGGTAGATTCCAAATTAATTCCATTTACTCGACGTGGACCTCTCTACAGTCTTCCAAATCCAAATTATGATGCACCTGATGGTGATTATTTTGATACAACAAATTATTTTTCGAAAGGCTTTGGTGTTAATTTTATGGATCATATGAAAACAATGGAAAGGCAAAAATGGACTGATATTCGAGCAGAACGTCGTGCTAAAAAAGAAGAAAAAATTGCAGACAAATAAAATATTTCCTGTTTTTTTTTTGTTTTAAATATACATTATTTGATTCGATATTTCACATTGATCACAAATATCATTACTTTTTTGAATCAACAAACTCTTCATTGAGAAAAATGCTAAATACTTAGAAGATATTGTAATCTACAAAAGAACAACCTGCC